CTGCAAAGCAAGAAAACAGAAATAAAATATACCTTGCAGAAGTAATAAGACAGTTCAAACTTGGTCCAAATTAAAACTAGAAACACACAATGTTCCTTTAATATTTAATGCAACACACCAAGAAAATGAGGTACATAAAAATTAAGCTGAAAATTATTATGATTATCAAACTTTTATGTTTAGGGTCATTCAGAGGGAAACCGTAAACACAGCCAAACTAAAACTGATTGGTTTAGTTGAGCGTTCTCAAAGTCCTGTCCTTGAAATTAAGTGTTCTGCAACATTAACATGCTTTTCTGCTCCAAAACACCTAACTTCAATATGAGCTCATTAGCTGAACTCTGCAGAGCTTGTGTGTGTGCTACTGAAGTAGTTTAACCATTTAAATCAAGTGTTTGGAACAAGGGACACATCTCAGCGTTACCAGACAGTGGCCCTGGAGGATTGGGGTTTGAGGCCCCATCAACATTGAGGCAAGATGAGGTGTAACCAAAGAGATATTTTGTTGTTTAAGCTGTCTATCCAAATGAGCTCAGTGTTGTTGGGGAGTATAAGTGAATAGATAATTTTTTTAATCGGGTACCAGAGCGCTAAAATCAGAGCACGTCGGTTTCATGTTTCCGTTGGTACAGTAGCAGCCATTCAAATTGGCCCATCCCAGTCAAAAGCCAGCCGAATGGCAGCAAAATCCCCTCCAACTTCCAGCCACTGGCCCTCTCATGGGCTTGCATATTTTTTTACTCTTACTCCACCCTTTCACTAACTTACAGGGCCTGACCTGTAATCTTTAGAGCTTAATTTCCACAAATCATGACAGAATATTTTAGATGTTTAAAAAGGAAATTTATTGGACCAGCCAAGGACCAGCAATGGGCCCATATGAATGGCTACTACTGTACATGCAAAAACATGTCATTGTAGCTCAACCTACCCCTATAACCCACATGTGTCTCTTTAAAGCACTGCATGATTTTGTTTAGTTGTGATATGTGCTACATATATACTACATCTTGACTGGTGTTGTCTTCTTTGTGGACATAATTTTTTTCTAAGAAACAATACTGTATTCGTCTTTGTGTGAATTAGGCCTGAAACTACTGGTTTAAACTCAAGGGAATTGTTGTGTTAAAATGGCTTTTTACAAATATGGATCTAAAAGACCTTCAGAATCTTTGTTTTGTGGATACTCTGCAATTAAAAAATGGACAGGTGTTTTATGTGAATCTAAAATATGTAAACATAACAGAGGTATATTTGAAAAGTTGAACCCTTATCATCCTCAAAGGTGGTACCCATGTCTACTGACTGAGGTAGGCTGAATACATATCTATCCCATCTTCATTTTTATGTATTTTTTGCAGTTTTTATTATCTATAGCATTAAGTAAAAATACATGAATGTTTGTATTATGAAAGTATATATGAAAATATGCAAAATGAATAAGGTACAGTTCTTAAGGAAATTCTTGGTTTTTATTTTTCTGTCTTTAAAGACAATTTCCTTGTCAATATTTCTTCCAAAGCCTCTGTACAAGGGTGGGGGGAATTTTAAATGCATGTCCCATCTTGCAATACAAAAGAGCCCCGGTCCATAAAAGAAAACTTTTGGCTAACAAACCTGTTACAGTGCAGGAGCCTGCAGATGACCAAGAATGAGACAAATGTTGATGCTTTACTTGGGAGACAATTGTATTAATCTCCTTGAAGATTAAGAATATTTATATTTTCCAGCTGTAGGAGTTTTCCTAAACCTCTGCTGTGAAAGGCTACAGCTTAGTGAAATGGGGCATATGTTCTGGCAAATAAATCTGATGCATTTCTGCATATTTTCTTTTCCCTTAAATGCTTAGCCCTTTGATAGTTTCTGTTTCTTCTCCACCCTCGCCCCCACATGTAAGCGCTGCCCCCTTGTGTTAGTCTTTGCCAGGATATTCGGTTTACTTTGCCCTGAATTGACCAGACGATTCATTGGGTTATCATTAAAAAGAAAGTGCGTGTATACAGTAAAAATTGGATAAATATCTGTCCACCCGGATCCGATAGCACATATTAAAGTGAAACTTTACTATAATGCAAATGAGACAGTCAGTAAAAAATCCACTCATGCACATCTACATAAAATCTCAGTTCAAAGAGCAGCGCAGCTCCACTTGAGATATGCCTCTGGACAGCATCAGTATGATGAAGAGGGAACGCTCTTGACAGTGTTGTTGGTGGAACAGCATCAAACGGTGGTGGGAGTGTGTGCGTACGTGGATATGTCCCATCTGCTGATAAAGTCCACACATGACACAGTCCTCCAGTGAGAAGTGAGGTTGTTCATATCAAGTGTTCGCTCATAGCTATACATGGTGTTCTTTGTGTCTGCTGAGTTTGTCTGGCCTACCGGAGTGACATCTGATCTGATGCCTTTTGAAACATCTGAACCTGATGAATGGTGTCAGGAACACTTTTGTCATGTCTGATATGCAAATATGTTACATTACACAGGCTGGTGGAGACGTTGTGCTTGAGTTATTCAGCTATTACAATGAATTAATATTGACAGTAACAGGTTGGTGATACAGAACTACAGACAGATACAAAAACAGTCAAAAGGAGCTGTGCCTTAGCAGAGATTCTATGTTCATACTCTGATCTAGTTTCTAAAGGGATTATTTTGACTTTAAAGTGTGTGTCAGTATCTAGGGAGACATGCACAAATTGAGAAAGCAAGAAAGAAGAATTACCCCCCGCACACCAATGAAACTACTGCTTAGAATCTGTGTTGTATGGAGTCTGTTTTCTGCAAGACTGAGGATCTAAGCTGGTCAGAATGGCATCTGGCTCCTGATTATTCACACCTGCCATCTATCTAAGGCAATGTTTTTCAACCCTGGTCCTCAAGGCACCCTGCTCTGCATGTTTTGGATGTTTCTGAGGTTCAGCAAACCTGATTCAGGTGATTGCAGTTCAGCAACGCCTGATAATCTGCTATCAATTGATAACAGGTGTGTGAAAGCTGGGAAACATCTAAAACATGCAGGGCAGGGTGCCTTGAGAACCAGGATTGAAAAACACTGATCTAAGGAGCAGTCTGCAACCATGTCTTTGCCCTATGGTCAACTCTCAACTGGTATAGACTCAAAATTCTCTGTTAAACCTATTTTTTGTAAAGCAGCCTTTTCTTGAGTTAACCTCCTGTATTCTCTGTGCGTCCTTGTTCAAATTTCATGGTTTAACTTCTTTCTCACAAGAAATTGTGGACTTGCGGATCTCCTTGGAGCAACACTCTCCTCCACACATTTCCAGCAGAACCCTGCCTGTCCATTTTCAGACTCAGTCCTGTAAAAACCTCCTCCAGAGCCCAGGGAAAAGAAACAGACAAACCTCCCAATCCTTCATCCCTGGCCAAGATCTGTTTCCTGACTTATGACTTTTCTTCTCTCTGGGCCAACCAGTAACTCATAACTAGTGAGCCAGTGAACAGGATACTTGCAAGAATATGAGTTTGCTGTCTGTGATGATTCTCTTCTCCTTCCAGACACAAGTTGAACCTGAATTCCAGAAGCTGACATTAAATACATTCTTATAAAATAAAAAAGTTGACTAAGAGTGCTGTAGATTAATGCATGTGGGCCAAAGAGATTTTCTTTCTTGACTTTAACAGTCTTATTTAGTTCTTCCATAAGGATTGCTAGGTCTCTGAGCCATGAATTGACTAAATTAAAAGTTTGGGACGGGCCCCAATCATTAAGTCAATCTTTTTTAATGGGAGAAAAAGGCCTTTTAACTCAATCTTAGAGCATTTTGGGTGAAATTCAAATCCTTAACGCATACATGGCCCAGATTGAGCAGGTTTGGAAGTTCCTTGTTTCTCTTTGAATACAAAACTGATTTGTAACCAAGAAAAAAGAATAACTGAATATAACAATGCATCCTTATTGTAATAACTTGGTCAGCCTTTTGTCAACCTTATTTTAAATGTGGTGTTTCGGTGAGTCTTTGCTGGTTAGTTTATTATTGGTTATTATTATACTGGTTATTATTGTACTCCTGTCTTTCTCCATTATCTCTTTCCATTCCTTAACTATGGACTCGGCTCTCGACCAAACACAGAAATAAGGGATTTTCTTTTCTGCTTCCACAAAGATGAACATCAAAATAGATTAATTCTAATTTTTTTTCATTAAACTTGCTATGCAAGACATTTAGGTTAGAAAAAAAAGTTTATAAAAGCTTCATAATCCTCACATTGGAATTGAATAACCTAAGTGTTCTTGAAATTGGTTAATTAGAGTGCTAAACTATCGTCTTGCCATTCATTATTATATTATTTTTACAGTGAAAGAAATAGGTCTTAATCTTATCATTTAAATACAGTTCGAATATTTTTAATATGTTGAATGGGACCAAAACCAATTAGAAGACTGACAGATGGACAAGACTAATGACTTGGGTTATAAGACCCCTGAAATCACACACACCCAATTGAGAAGTCAAACTTCTCAGTGATTACAGATGGGTAATCGCTGAAAACATAATCATCAAGAGTGAAACCACCTTCTCAGATTAAGATGAACTCTTTTTATATTGTTTGCATGTAAGGATTTCCAGCTCACTTTTTCATCTAACGGTGAAGAGTTCCTTCATATTTATTGAGGTCTTTTAATGGTTTAGCTCCACATGTACTTCTACTGTATAATGTTTCCAGTAAGCCAACTAAGGGCTATGTGCACAAAATCACCCAATTGGAGTAAAAGAGTACTAAACTACACCCATGATACTTTGTTATATTAATGTTGGATCTTCATCCAGAGATTTTTCATCATCAACAATTTAAAAAAAAGTTTATAATGTGTATAGAGAGATGTTTTTCTGTTTTTAAATATGTAGATAAATAATGGGATTATCGAGAGGTGATTCATTTAGAAATTAACGTCTGTTTGATTTCTTATGGGACTTGGCTTGGTCTGAGTGTCATGAGTAAACACTCTGTTGTTGTTAAGTGTTTGTACTTACAGAGAGCATTAAGCAGTCCACAGGGCTTTCTTGTGCTTCGCTGGCATACTCAGAGAGTCTGTACTGAGTGTAGCACCAAAGAGACTTTTCTGTGACAGAGAGAAACGATGGGGATATCTGGCTCCAGCCGCATGGTTAATAGCCACGGCCACTGCATGAAAAAGACATAAAGCAGCATGAGCAATGGACGCATGGATTTTAGTGCTACCTTTATCAGCTCTTACTGAAACTAAGATGAAAAGGTTGATACCACTCTTTTATCTATCTTCTGAATAATAAACAGCCAGCAGATGGTTAGTTATGCCTACTATAAATATAAGAAATGAGGGTATGTGCTAAAATGAGTTTTAAGCAGGAAAAAAAGCACAAACACTACATATGTATTTATATTTTCGGAAACTATCCTGTTTATACTATTATGTGACTAAGTAGATAGACATATGAAGCAGTGCAAGAAGTAAATATAAACAAAAGCTATCTTATAAAAGTAGACTGCCAGGACACATCAATGTAAAAAGTTTGTTTATTCATATGCAGAATATTAAACAGCTCCTGGGATAAGAACAGCAGTTTTTTTATCTCTTTATTTCTCAAAAGCAGGAAAAGAAACCTATAGAGATATCTGTCCAATTATATGATCAGTAATGTGTAACTACCAGCCTGTACAATCGGACACCTTTATAGGTTGTGGTTACACTACTTTTATTATTTCCTTGTCTGTAACTTATATGTGCACTGTATCATGACAATGCAAGTTATTTCAGGCCCACTGCTTTGTTGTCCCCTTAGACCTATGGCTGATATTCAAAATCACTCTCTTACAGTTGCACATCTTATCAAGGTTACAACAGATCTGATTGCCTCAGTCAACAAGTATATCACATTATTTGGATCCTTTTCATTGGCTTAGTCATCTGGTTACTTCCTTAGCAATCTGTCAAGAAATTTAACTTTATCAAGAGGTCAGATCACCAACATGGTCAGTATTAATTTAGAACGTAATATGTACGCTAAGTATGTACGCTATAACCACACCTTGCTTGTGTTTTCTATTCAGTGGACACTGGCAATTGCTGCTCCATCTATTTCTCTTTCACAATGTACTATGGCTCCAGATGTTCTTTACTCTTCTGAGCACTACTGAAAAAAAAATCCTTGTATTTTGCCATTCTCTTTGCCTGTACTTACTGGCAGGTTCTGATAAAAAAAGAAAAAAATAACTTTTCTGTCACAACTTTTTAGATATCGACTGCTCAAAATAAAGGGGACACTCAAGTAACATATCTTAGACCCGAATGAATGAAATATTGTCATTGAATACTTTGCTCTGTACAAAGATGTTCTCAATCAAATTCAGACGACTGCTCCAGTCCACAGCTTTAACGCCTTCATTTTGCAGGAACTTCTGAAAAACTTAAGTCACATGAGGTCTCGCATTGTCCTGCATAAGGAGAAACCCAGGGCCAACTGCACCAGCATATAGTCTTGCAAGAGGTCTGAGGATCTCATCTCGGTACCTAATGGCAGTCATGCTACCTCTGGTCTCCACATGAAATGATGTGCTGCCATCCAAAGAAATGCCACCCCACACCATTACTGATCCACTGTCTGAAGTATGCCAATCCTGGTGTTCTCTGGCAAATGCCAAGCATCTTGCACTATGTTGGGCTACGAGCACAACCCCCATCTATGGACACTAGTCTCTCATTCCATCCACATGTAGTTGATTTATAACCGGTTGTGCAGTTACATGCACATTTGTGGCATGATGGGGGTGCTTTTGCAGGGCTCGGGCAGTGCTCCTCCTGTTCCTCCTTGCACAAAGGCGGATGCAGTGGTCCTGCTGCTGGGTTGTTTCCCTCCTAAGGCCTCCTCTACATCTCCTGGTGTATTAGCCTGCCTCCTGGTAGAGCTGACTGACACAACAAACCTTCTTAGCTCGCATTGATGGACCATCCTCGATGAGCTACATTACCTGAGCCACTCGCGTTTGTTGTAGAGCCTGTCTCATGCTACCGCAAGTGTGATTGCCCCACCAGTATTCAAAATGCACCCAAACATCAGTCAGAACGCATAGGTACTTAGAACTGATCTGTGGTCCCCACCTGCAGAACCACTCCTTTATTGAATGTGTCTTGCTAATTGCCAATAATCTGCACTTGTTGTCTATTCCTTTTGCAAAACAGCATGTGAAATTGATTGTCAAACAGCATTGCTTCCTAAGTGAACAGTTTGATTTTACAGACCACTGATTTAATTGAAGTTATGTTGTGTTGTTTACATGTTCCAATTTGTTTTTATGAGCAGTTTAGAAACTTGACTATTGCTCTGGGATGTTCCAAGTCTGGTAAACATGGGTTTTTCCTCTGCACCTTTAAATGTCCCCATTTCAATACACCTGAATAAAATCAAATTGATCTAAAACTTGGGAAATCTTAAATTGAGAGGACTGGAAATTACATACCGACCATTCTTATTATTATTATGCACAGCCATACCATAATGATACTTCAATACTTCCTCTGACACTTCTAATATGTTTTGTACAAGATTCTGATTTTCTTGTACATGAGTAGTGCCACATAGTTACATTTTCTGTCCCTATGGTCACTGCCAAATCTACATAAAAACAATGACAGGTAGACAGCAAACATAAGCCATACATCTAGCGGGACACTGAATCCACATGGGCCAAATGTTCTGGAGTTCCATATATCAGCTTACAACGTGGATTTTATGTTCTTTCTTGAGTCATTTTAAACTAACTATCCAAATAGTATGGTAACAACTTATTTTTAAAATTTGTTTTCTTCTGATATTAAAGCCAAATGGATTTATGGAGTGATTTAATCATTGCCAAAAAACATAGTGGTATTCCTCAAGGCCTAATTATTGGGCCACTTACCCTAGTTAACAATACGAAATACTAGAAAATCTCTTATAATGTGTACTCTAATGAAAACTCATTTTTCATTCCCTGTCATCACATGACCAAAATATATTACAGTAATTGAGTCAGTGTGTCCATAATATTAAAATGGTTATTAAGTTTGTCTTAAACAGATTTAATGTAAGAGCCTTGGCTTGACCAAGGTTTACATAAAATACACACAATGAATAAAAATCAGCCATCTTATTATTAGCCAAGAGAATTACAGCAACATCCCCTTCTCTGACTTGCTAGATAAATAATCTAATATGCAAAATTGATGCATTAAAGTATATTAAAACTGTCCAGTCTTCCATTCTTAAAAAAAATGAAAACAACAAAAAGTACAGCATTCGGGGAATAATGAATCTCTGTCACAGTTTCTATTGAACAAGAGGCTGAGAAACAACTTCTGCCAAAGCAGAGGAGGAAGAGACAAGGGCAGGTGATAATGGGATAAATCCTTAACCCTGCGGGCACACAGTGTTGCACTGCACTAAGCCAGCCTCTGCTGGTGAAGAGATCTACTGCCATGATAACGCCTTATGATATGTTGCCCTGTGTTGGCACAAGAGCTCTTGGCCTGTTATAGAGTGAAACTCACTGCTGGGTCCACTCATGGGCGGAAAATCTGAAGAATATAACTCTGCACAGATCAGGTATTTTAAAGACTATTGCAAAACTGACGAGTTAAACACATTCAGGCTCTTAGGAACATCGCTTTAGTTTCACATAGACCGCACATTGTCCAAATGATTTCCCAATGGAGAAAATGTGCCTAATGATCTTTGTCTCTAGTGGGCTAATTCATTTACTATGCCAAAGCTGCTGGTGTGATCAGACACTGCATAAACCTAAGTGTACTTCAGACTTCTAATCATGCAGGAGGATGATGTAGAAGCTCCAAGCAATACCGCTGAAAGATGATGAAAATTATTCAAAAAGTTTTTACATCATGAGAAGCACTTAAACGATCTAATAAGTAGCTTTGGTTTAAACTCTTCTTTACCAGCTCACCGTTAATTCCCTCCTGACCAAATGTGTGGTGTCTGTTCAGCCATACAGAACATTATCGCCTAATTCTCATAAACATGCTTTGGACTGATTGGCTGTTAGGTAGCATGACCCAAGATCAGTATCTTCTATGCTGTAAGCAGTGGATTTACTGTGGATTTAGTGTGTGTTTGTGATGTTGTGGAGAAAAAAGTTAAGAAAACTAGCTCTTGAATGGCACAGCCTGGCCCCAGTGTCTCTTTATCCACACTCTATCACCTAAATCTCCCATGAGGAGGGCCTCTGGGGAGAGGAAGTCTTATTTAATAAAGTGGCTAGTCTGTACTGTTGACTGTCATCACTAAGGAGCACTAAACCTTTGGTGAAAAGCAATCTCACAACCTTACACAAGATGCTTTGTACTTTATCCCTTTTAGAGGGACAATAGAGAAATAAAACTGAGAGCCAGCCCTGATTCATTAAACTTCTTCAGCATGAAGCAGAAAACAGCAAAAAAAAAAAAAAAAGGTCCTTGCTTGTTTTCTAAACCTTTTCTGTTTTTGCTCAAATTATAAATTAATGGCATTTGGGAACTAGCAAACTGGCCACAGACATCCCAGGAAAGCAGGTCTGCTAGATGCAGAGGAGGTTTTATAGTTTGGTTTTCTAAGTAAATAATTCAGAGTGGTGATCTCCTTTTTTCACATAGAAGCAGACCAGTTTAATAACATGCATGGCAATTTTCTGTTCTAAAGTGATAGTAATGACTCTTAAAGCAGAGTGATGAATGGTACATTTTGGTTTAAGCAAAGGTTTGCAGCTAAAAACAAATTTCTATATCTGTTTAGGCAACACAGTGTCAAGCCACATATCAAAGCCAGACACAGAAGTATGTGCAGAATGATAATCATGAAATGTGTTCACACAAACAATTCTCTTTTGAGTTTTAAACCTTGGCTTAATTTGAGATAAGTTTGAAGACAATTTTTATCTATAGTCTTATTTTTAGTCGGTACAATAAGATGCTGTCACAGTGGTAGAACCCTGGGAGCTGGTAGGGAAGTGGGAAATTTTGAGGAATGGTAAATGCCCTGTACTTATATAGCGCTTTCTCAAGTCAGAACACTTGACCAAATTGCTTTACACTACATTCTGTCATTCACTTATTCACGCTCAAACTCACACATGATGGTGGCAAGCTACGTTGTAGCCACAGCTGCCCTGGGGCT